TATTACTACTATAGATCATGTTCACACACTGGACTATACTCTCAGCTAATCTTAAGGAAATATGCTCTTTTCTCAAACATCTATACCTATAAACCAAGGCCGGGAAGAGCAGTTTGAAGACTGCGGCAGTTGTTAATCGGGCAGTCTGCTTCAAGTAGCAGATCCAGAGAGCACTTTGGGAACGATCCTGTTAACAGTGTAGTACAAACCTGGAGGTCTGTAATGACCTCCGAACATTTCCCATCCTTCTCAAGTCCAGGGTGAGTAAGCCCCTATCCTTGTGGCCCAACCAGAAAATAAAATTGCAAAAAGCAACCAGATCTGCATTTTTTAAAATCTCAGATTTTAAAAAACTGGATGATTAATTATTCAGGTATGAGCTCTAGAAGCTGACAGATGGGGAGGATGAACAGCATGTCTCATTCATAAATTCCTTGTTTAACAAGGCTTACCACTTCTGCATTAGCAGCGTTGGCAAGGAGGAGGACACCCACTTGAGCACACAGGATCTTTGCAGAGTCTAGTTAAACATCTCCATTTTACAGATGTGGAAACTGAGACTCAGGAGGGCTGAGTGATGGGCCCATGACAGTCCACGACACCCCAGGACGTGGTCTCCCAGGAGAGCTCACTCCTGTCCCCAGCCATCCTCCTTGCCCCTCATCACATAGGACTGGACACCGAGTGTCAGTGAGAAAAGGGACTCCAGCTTGACCGGTGCTTCACCGAATCTCTGAACACAGAAGGCCCCACCCGGGAGTTCACGAGGAGCTGGACCACCACCTATCATTCTCAGAAGTCAAAACTGAGGATGACAAATCCTTCTCCACGTCTCTCAGGCCTCACACTTTTAAGTCTAGCTGAAGAACCGTCTTCTCTGGGGGGTACACCCCAATCTCTCTGTCTGAATTCAGTCAACTCCCTCCTCCGTGTGCCAACCACACACTGCTTAGGATTCGACTGCTTTCTAGTTTGATGGTTAGTTTGTTTACTAGCTTATTTCTGTCTCCTACTGAGACAGAGGACACAGAGAGTAGGCTCATGAGGAAAAGAGACGTTTTCTCTTCCATCATCATATCCCCACTGCCTTGGACAGTGCCTGGCTCACAGTAGGTGCCCAAAAGACTTTGAGTGAATGTAGTCTGCAGTACAGTGGTGGTGTGCCAGGACGGCCACGTACTCGGAGGGATGGGTAGCGGTAAAGGGACTTTGCAGAGCAAGCACTTTGCTTTTACTTAAGGCTGCAGATTTACTGTAAAGGTGGGTGCTGACCAGGATTTGTGGGCAGTTCAAGTGCTCTCCAGCGCGTCCGTGGGGTGCCCGGCTGTCTTGGATTGCTAACTCACCCGTCCCCCCATTGGGACTTTGCGTCCACTGGGGGCAGAATGAATGACCTAATACACGAACAAATGAATCAATGAACAGTAAAACCTCTCCTAAGATGGGTCTGTCTGCTTTGGTCCACTGATGTCAGGAACCAAAATCAGTGTTCAAGTTAAAACCAAGAATAAAATTTGTGGGCCAAGGCAGGCAGGAGGCAGGGCAAGATGTGGGCAGCAGAGTTGGGAAGCTCCAGTGCAGCAGAAGCCAGAAAACAAACCCAGAAAGATCAGGCCACCCTGATGGACGCTTTCCATGTGACGGAGGTTCAAGGCGCCAGTGGATGAACTTGTGAGTTTCCTGTTTTTAGAACTTTCTTGTGTGTGTATTATCCCCTTCACTGGGGTGTGGGGGGGGCTGTGTTCTGGAATAATCAGGCACATGTGGCCTGGTCCACGTGCAAGTACAACGGAAACACAGGAGGTGGAAACCACAGCGTCAGCAGGCTGGGGGCGCCTGGGTCCTGAGTTCTAGTGCCGCAGGCTCTGCGGACAGGGGCTGTGGGTGAGCCTCACCCCGAGCCTCAGCTGTGACACAGGAAGGTCAAACCACACGATCTCTGAAGGCTTGTCCACTCCCGACATTCTATGACTTCTATCCTAGTCACAGAAAGAGCTTCAGCATAAAAGGAAAGGGATTTTGCACAGTGGAAAGGCATTAATGTGCACATAAGCTAAAGTAGTTTAAAATATTAATAGGCATATATTATATTTACTAGTAAACTTTTACTAGTATATTTGAGCAGTTTCCTAGTAAAAAAAAAAAAAAATCCTTAAGATAATTATAGTAAATGAGTTTTTATAAATAGGATGCCTGCTCATTAAAAAGTTAAAGAAGCAGAATGCTTCTTAATCCTGCTGCTAGATCACAATATTTTGAATTATGCTCACAGTTTCTTAAGTGGGTACTTAGGTAGCACATGCTACAGAAACGCGCATGTTCTTTTCTGTTACGTATGACAAAGGATCCAATTATGGTTTTTGTTAATAGAAAATTAACTTTTTCTGCACTTTGGTTTCTTCATCTATCAAACTCGGGGAGTGGTGGACTTGAATCTGCTCGTGTCTGGGATGTAGAAGGTGACGTCCTGTCATCCCACATCTCACTGAGCTTCTCCAGTCAAATCTACCAGCAGTCCTGTGAGGGGCCCTCCCAGCAGCAGGAAGGGGCACAGAGGGACACTGTCTCTAGCACCAGGTGGCATTTCCCTGAGGGGTTTGAAAGTGTGGAGGGTCACACATATCCACAAGATGTCCAGTGGAGATGGTTTGGGTGATCTCTACTTGGTGATCTCTAATTTAAAACAAAATGTATTCCTGTTGGCCGTGTAGAAAATGCCATCATCTTCAAATTAACGATGTGCTGTAGTAATCTGCCTTCCCCATTCTATAAAGGTGCACACGGAAGCCCACAGAAGGTAAGTGATTTGCCCAAGTGAAAAACTCTCCATCTCCGTAGTTCTTCACACTGACTCCCTCCTCTTTGGCTAGCAGAAATACAGGGTCGTTGCTCAGCTGGCCACACCTACCTCTCTGCATGCCAGGCGCCACACTGGGAACCTCAGGCCCACTCACTCCTGGGAGGCAGATATGAGCAGAGGTCCCTTCACAGCAAGGTTTCCACAAACGGGGCACTTATCTTGCCTGTCTGCCAGGGTGGGTCAGGGAAAACTTATGGCTGGACAAACTGGGGTTCAAGTTCCCATTCTGGCCCAAAGTTGATGTCTGAGAGGCCTCAAGCCCTGATGATCAGCAATCTTATCTGATAAAACAGGGACAAGCACTTGGGTACCACATCGAGGGGACCCTAGAACTTGGAATTAAGATCACTCTTTGAGAATGAAACTACTTCAAAGACAAGAATGTGGAGAAGCCAAACTGTCTTAAAGAAACAGAATGAGTCCTCGGCCAGGAAGACTGAGCAGTCACCTGACTGATGTCTTTAGCATTTAGTAAAAGTTGTAATTAATCGTGCGTGTGATTTCAACGTGTCTCTCCTGCTAAGCTGTAAATTCATGAGGACAGGAGCCCCGTCCATCCTTCTCTGCCTTTGTCCTGGGTACCTGGTCACAGAGCAAGCACTTGATAAATGAACGCATGGGACACAGCTAAGGAAACAATGTGCCAATCAGAATGTCAGCCAGGGAAGCCCAAAGAAATGAAGCTGGCACCGTGGTGCCATCCAAGCCCTGGCCAGGAGGGGACCTGTTGGCCAAGAGCCTTCTGCTGAGAACACAGATACCCTGGAGGTGTGTGTGCGCACAGGTTGGTCACACTCAAATATTCTGGGCGCTGAGGCCGCAACTTGCAATAGGTGAATAACTGGCTCCCTGGGGTCACACACCAGCTCTGGGGGCTGGTATGAGCTGGTTTCCCAGGCAGTGAGCCTGCTCTTCCCATACAGCGAGACCTGGGCCACAGCAGGTCGGTCAGGTGAAGCTTCCCCACGATGGCTTTCCATGGCAGCCCGCTGGCCACCTCCAGATGGTCCTTACACCTCTGAGCTGCAGGATTTGCTGTTAGTTTTTCTAGAACATCCAGGTGGTTGTAAGGATGCAGATGATGATAAAGGCCCAGCACAAAGTGTGTGCTCAATAAACAGTATGATCATTATTGCTCTTTAAGGCACACGTCTGATCAATGAGTGAGTCAGGATCCCGTGATTAAAGATGTGCTTTCTGTCTGAGAGTGTAGAGTACAGATAAGGACCAGTGTGAGGTAAATCCAACAGGCCATACGTCTGACAGGTCTACGGGGGAAAGGGAAGGTCACGGCCAGCAGGAGTGCCTGGGGCAGAGCTCACAGAGATGTGGAAGATGAACACATGGAAGATCTGCACTAGGGGCCACAATGCCCTCCTCGGGGGCAGGGATCATGTGTCTGCAGTGTTTGGCTGTCACAGTGACCAGAGGCCAGAGCCAACATCCCATGATGCTCTCAACATCCTGTGCAGTGAACTCTCCTGCCCTCAACTCCAGCAGCACCCTGATCACAGATGCTGGGAGTGTGCAAAGATGAAGGCAGCGCGAGAGTCTAGATGCAGAGGATGAACGAGCACAGGGTTTGGGGACGGTGATGAGGAATAGCGGCTTTGCAAGGACGGACCCTCAGTAGTTACTTTTTCCAGAGTAAAAGGAGGGGCATGTTGATCTAGTGAAGGGAGCGGTCCTAGGCTGTAGCTAGTTACATGTGTCTGAACCTGGTACCACTTTTTTGGCATTGCCCTGGGTGGCAGCTCCAGCTTGCTGGTCAGTTTCTGACCTTGAGCCCGGGGTTTGCTCTGATTCCTTTCCAGACCTACCTTTTTCCCAAAAGTTGGCATGGCCCCATGGGATATGGTGGGCTCTGTAATATTCTTATTTTAGAATATTGGACAAGGTCACAAAATGTACATTGAGAAAGAACAGGCAATATAACGAGGACACACACGCACACACAACAAGGAAGCTTTCTGGCTGAAAAGAAAGTGAAACATCCTTTTTTCCTTTAAATTTACAAATACTGAATTTGCAGAGTCAAAGCAAGGTAAGTTCTTAAAAATGGAAAGGGTTGCCACATTATGCACATAGACAAGAGAACTTTTCACCCAGAGAACTACAAAGCAAGCATGCATATACATACCCGACTTGGGTACTGTCGCGGTACGGCAGCACTGAAAATATACTACAGAAGGATCTTCTGCCACTGATAAGGACTATTCTAAAAAACAGAAACAAAAAAAGAACAAACAACAAAGAAAACTAAATGCAAAGACTCAAATTAAAAAAAAAACTACAGCAATTAAGCATTCATGGAATTCGCAGCAGTATTTGCACGCTCCCGCCACCTCCTCTGACAGATGGTGTTCTGCTCTCCTTGCAAAATGCAACCTCAGCGCAGAAGTAGGCAGCCTCTCCTCATCCGAATATTAACATGTGAGACACCAGCGAGGGTCCCTGGTGAGGATACATGAATCCTTTCTCTAAGGAGAGTTGCTGGCTGTGAGCTGTACAAGCAAGAGGGAGCAGACAAGAGCCGAGTCTGGGGTGGCCGGGGCCAGGCGAACAGTCATGCCACATTTAAACCCCTGATTTCTATTCTGCAGTGAACAATCCGAGAGCAAGAGCACCAGAAACTCCGAGCAGGAAAGACACTCTGATGGCATTATGATTATTAGGTTTTTCATCTGCTGGCAACATGTTAGGTTCTGAGAATAGATTAAGGGAACAATTACATAATCAGTCTTAGCCTCCATTCCTGCTATAAAGATACTACTGGAAACAATTCTACAAGATGCTCTTATGCAATCAAAAGCCACTTAAAAAAACATTAAAAAAAAAAAAAAACAAAAAACAAAATCAAAACCCTTCAAAAGTACTCATCCTGGCATCTGAGAATAACTTTTGCCAAAGGGAATTGCTGATGTAAAAAAAAAAAAAAAAAAAAAGGAGAAACAAGTGGAAGAGATTAAAAAACAACATTCTTCTTAGCACAAGGTCAATACATATCATATGGGGAGCTTATTTGTTTTTATCATCATTTCCTTCAATGATCGTAATAAGAAGACCAGGGAAAATTGTATTACTAAATGCATCGAGGTCTGGGGATTTTAGTCTTATTTTTGAAACTATGAAATTAAATTGCCAACATCCCTGGGATGTAGTCTGGTTCCCCGGCATGGCAAACCAGGCCCTGTGTCTCCCAGCTCTTGCTGTCTCTCCAATCTCTGCAAGCACCATATTTCAGCCATTCACCTACGTCAAAGTCCTTCTGGTACCACCTTTAAAAAAAAATCCTGCTGTTTTATGCCTGTGCATCCTTTACATCTGCAGTCCCCAGCCCCTGGGCTGCAGAGCGGCGGTACCAGTCTGTGGTCTGTTAGGGACTGGCCCCTAGCCCACCACACCCCGCTCTGGTCCATGGAAAAATTGTCTTCCATGAAACTTAGAAATGGGGGCAGGTGAGCGAGCGAAGCCTCATCTGTACTCACAGCTGCTCCCCACTGCTCGCATCACTGCCTGAGCTCTGCCTCCCCTTAACCCTGTGGAAAAACTGTCTTCCATGAAACTGGTCCCCGGTGCCGAAAAGGCTGGGGACCGCTGCTTTACATGCTATTTCTTTGGCCTGTTGTGTCCCACCTTGGAACACCTGGTAAACTCCTATTTATTCTTCAAAACATAGCTTAGAAGTCCCCTCCAGGGAGTGTCCCCCTCCCCTGCACTGAGTTACTTGTTTCCTTTTCAATGCTGCCCTCACTCCCTGCCACATTTCCAGGAGGCCATTGATATGACGAGTGCTGCTAATCCTTTGCCTCCCTCTTCTTCTAGAGGGGCAGTCCAGGAGTGTGGCACATGCTGGTCCCACCATAAATGTCCATTAGATGTCACTGAAACACAGTCTGGGCCTCAGAGCAGCACTGAGTATCTGGCTTCAGTGGGGGGCGGGGCTGCAGCTGTCTGTCAACTCCACAGGAGTTCACGTCTACAGTGATAATACTCCCAGCTTCAAATACCAGCTGTCACCTTTGTTTGACCTCAGGCAGCTGACAAACTCTTCTAAGCCTCAGTCTCCTCTTCTGAAAAATGGGATGAAATGAGTAACTGTCTTACTGGAATGCTGTAAGAGTAAACGAGTCCATATGGGGAGAACCCTCGGAATGGTGACCGGCAAATGATACACACTCAATAAATACGAACCGTCTTTACGGCAGAGCAGCTGCCTGGGTTAAGGTTCAGTTTTGCCAGAAGAGTACTTGGATTCAGAACCTCTTCTGACCTCTGTGCTAAGGACCCAGGCCTACTAAGACCTGAACCACTGTGCTGCAGGACAGCGGAGGGACCTCACACATGTATGACACAGATGTGTTGCTGAACAGAAATGTTTCTCATCAGACCCTGACCCTGATTATTACAGCAAGGACAGAAGTGGCATGTCCAGAGGGGGCATCAAATCCTGAAGGGCCAGGGGTTAAATAAGTCATGAGCACACTCTGCTAAACACCAGCCAGGTTCCTGGGCTCTCATACATGGAGCCCAGCAACAGAGCTTCTACCGTTGCAATGCCCGTGGAAATTTACCTAAGCACACATAGAATTAATAATAGCTAATGCTTATTAAGTACCAGTTACGTGCCAGGTTCTAAACGCTTTAACTGGTGAGGCAGCATGAGTAAGTGATGTGCCAAAGGTGACGCATCTTTACCACCATCAGAGCTCCTGGGGCATGACTGGGTACCTGTGGACCTCATGGACATCAAGAAGTCTGTTCTAGGGTGGCTTTCCAGCTTGGCCTGCAGGTCACCAGGCCTAGCACTGGGAGGAGCAGGGGGTGAGAGATCATAACAGCCCTGACGTCAGAGCTGCTGGAGTCCCGGGGGGGCTCCACATTCCTGCCCTGCTCAGCTAAGGCCCCTTTCCAGATGGAAGGACAGAGCTTCTCCACACCCCACTGCCACTCCCCGCCATCCACCTGGGACAAAAGTCTGGAACTACTCATTCCACGCGTCACTCGGCACCGATGTCTTCTGCAACACAGAGGAAGGAATGTGTTGAACAAACTTCCCTGGCTTAGTGTTATTGCATTTTCTTCATTACTCAATGCTAATGTGTCCGTCCTTCCCACACACCAAATTTGTTTGGACGTTTTTAATAGAACAAGAAAATGAGAGAATATAAATGCAAGTGAAATCCAAGTCTTGTCTCCAACGCTTCAACCACAAGGTGCCTATTAGTAAATGGGCTGTATTGTTCTATCAGGCAAGTGCTCGCTCTGGGTGGTCCTCACCATTAGGTCCAGGGGAGGCTGACGACAAGGATCTCATTCAGAAAAACAAGTTATTCCGCTGCATAGGTCAAGTTTAGCAGCTGTGAACATGGACTGTTTCCCAACAATTCCAGCAGCGTTGGTACTTCCCTGGTTGGCCAGTCTCAAGCAGCAGGAGGGAGGAGGGAATGATATTCAGGGCCCACATCTTTGGGCCCTTCTCTTCCTGGCTCCATGATCTCATGGACTCCCACTTTCCGCAGGGGCAGAGGAGGAACCCACAGGAGAGCCCTGCACAGAGGCTCTGCCACTGGTTTGCAAACGGAGCTCCCAAGAACACCTCTTACATATTTCCTGAAGTAGTTCTGGCACCTGGGCTGCAGGCCCTAGCCAGAGCAGGCAAGCATCGACCAGTGCTGAGCTCTAGCAGTCTCGGTTTCCTACACGAGCAACCTTGAGCAGCACGATTCTAACAGCAGGTCCTGTGTGACCAATCGCGATGTCTACAACCTGGAGGGTTCCCATGAATGTGCAGCTTTGCTCTTTAAAGGCATCGGGAAAACATCCATCATAATGGAGCTGCCCGAGAAGAAAATCAGCTTTGTTTGCTCCTTGAAGCACCTCTCTGTTCTTTGTGAAAAAATTAAATCAGGTGCCGTAAAGACAACCAAACTCCACTACCAGCAGGCTTTGGAAATAGGCAGCTTTCATGTCTTTGCTTCCAACCACCGTAGCTGTTAATACCTTCTTTTTATGCCCAAATGGCACGCGGAAACCTCAGATCATTTTCTCCATCTGTGACATGTAACACTTGGAGTCAAGATGACCAGAAAACGTTGCCCAAAAAATTATGACTTCAAAAGAGGAATTAATTCCAGGGAGATGGGTCTTTAAGGAATGTAAGGTCACATTTCCACACAAACATCTGCCAGAGTTTAAAACAAACAAACAAAAAAAACAGCAAAGGAAAAAGCTCCACGGGGCTGCAGCCCACACGGGCAACGCTGCCTCTGGATCCGCGATGTTTTCCAAAGCTTCCGCGGGCTTCTAGAGGATGTGTAGCTGGAACCCTGCCTAACCTCCTCCTTCGTGGAGCTTCGTTTCCATGCTCTAAGGAAAGTGCTTCTGGTGCGAGGGCTCTTGCAGCTTCAGATCACAGGGCTTCCACAGCCACAGTTTGCTGCTAAGACGCTGGAGTGTTCCCAACAGCTCGGAGCTGCACGAGGACCCCCGTAGTCCACAGAGCACCACGGCCCACTCTCACCGAATCTGCTTTCAACCCCTCAGCCCAGTGCTGGCAACGTCTACCCAGGCAATGCCTAACATCCTCTAGGACCCTCCAGTGTTCCCTCTTTTGCCAAAAAACCAGCTTCTTGTTGTATTTCCAGACCCCTAGGGGGTGTCTGCTGGCTGTGAGAAGGTTCAATCTCTTCCAGGTGGAATATTCCATGATAGCAAAAATATTCTCTGAAGGACATAAAAACAAGCAAGCAACTCCAAGAGGCAGAGAAAGAAAATCACATTTGCAACAGGGGCAGAGGTGAGCGATGCCCGAACACAGCCCGGGATGCACATCAGGCACCAGGCACACACACATAACTTCTGCAGTTCATTCCCTACGTGCCCAGGAAACAAGAACACACTTAAAAAATGCTCATGCTGTGGGCTGAATTGTGTCCCCAAAAAGACATGCTGAAACCCTAACTCCCAGTACCTGTGAATGTGGCCTTATTTGGAAGTACAGTAGTCCCCCCCACCCACACGGGCTACATCCCAAAATCCCCAGTGGATGCCTGAGGCTGCAGATAGCCCTGAACGCCACACAGACGGTGTTTTTTCCTATATGGTCACATTGTACAGGGCAAGTCTCGTAGACAACGTAGCTACGCTGGACCAAGGGCCAGTACACATCCCAGGCTGGGAAGAGGGGAGAGTGAGAGATTTCACCATGCCACATGC